TAGGTCATACCCAGGACCTGAGGCCTCCTGCTTCCCCATAGCCCCATCCATACCTCCAAGTTCGTCCTGACACGGGAGCTCAGCAGGGAGGTGTTCTTCCCCTGCTGGCTGGTGATGCAGTGAGTGCTGCCTCCAGCTCTGAGAGCGGGGCATTAAGTGATTTAAAAAAAAAGAAAAAAGGAAATAGGTGCAGACGGTGAGGAGGGTGGCACTCGCTCCATATGCAGGTGTAGCTTGGGGGACCTCAGCAGCAGGAGGTTCACCTTGAGGAACACCAGCTGCTCCATCAAACCAGGATCCAAGGAGGTGTGTTGGGGTGTCACAATATCTCCAGCAATGCTGAACACCCTCTCGCTTGGAACACTGGTCGGTGGACAGGACAGATGTTTGTGGGCAACCGTGGCCAGATCCTGCCACATCTAGCTGCAGGTTGTCCAATAGGCCAAGGGGTTGCAGTCCAGGGTCTCGGTGACCTCAAGAAACAGCTTGAGGACTACCAAGATCTGGGAGATGGTATCCCATGCTGCTTTGTTAAGGGGGCCACTGATCGCAATCTCCCTGAGCAAGGCCATCTCATGGATGGCCTTCTGTTGCTCCACCAGCCTTTCTAGCATCAGGTATGTGGAGTTCCACCGAGTCTCCACATCCTGTATGATTTTATGCTGCGGGATACTCAGCTCTGCCTATTTATCCTTTAGCATCTTGCTCCCCTTGATGCTGCAGTGGAAGTAGCCTGCCACCTTCTTGCATTTTGAAATTAGCTGGGTGGTGTGATGGCGCCCTCACCAGCAGCCCTGTTCCCCCCCCCCCCCCCAAGGCATCCCTGATTATGAGGTGGAACTTGTGTGCCACCCGGCAGATGCCAACAAAGGCATCATGCACTGCCTTGACCATATTGGCCCCATTGTCGGTGACCATGAACCCGCGGGTGAGCTCGCCCTGCTCAATGAGCCACCCCTGCACCATGTGGTTTATGGCCACCGTGATCTCCCTTGCTGTGTGGGACTCGTCCATCACCTCCGCTTGAAGGAGAGCCCACCAACAGCCTGACTGATCGTACCAGTGCCCCATGAGGGAGAGGTAGGCATGATTTCCACCCTGGCCGCTCCAGATGTCCAAGGTGAATTGCAAGGCTACCTGCGGACCTGCCTTGCGCAGCTCCTTCCTCAAGTACTCCCTGCATGCCTCATACAGGGAAGGCACCACCGTCTTGCTGAAGGTGGTGCGTATGGGCACGCAGTATGTTGGGGCCATGAGCCACCTGAACCCTGGGTGCTCAACTAAGGAGAAGGGCTGTCCATCCAGAGCAAGCATCTCCCCAGTGGTCTGGGTGGCCTTGCTTGCCCTTGCAATGCATCCCCCTTTGTTTGCGGGTTTCCCCCACTGCTCCAGGGTGGCCTGCCTCTGCTTCATGGGGACGGGGGCTTTGGAATGAGAGGGGGACTTCTTTGTGGGCAAGCTCCCACTGGTGCCAGGCTGAGGAGGAACAAGGGCCAAAGGGGTGTGGCCTCCTGAGATGAAGCAACATTGCCGTGGTGGTGAAGTGTTTCACCTCCTTGCCCCAGCTGATCTGTCTTTGGCAGTGCTGGCAGGTAGCATACCTGGGATCATCTGCCACCTCCAAATGATCCCCCACTACACTACCCCCCTGCTTCTGGGTTGAGGGTGGGGATCCTGCCTTATCCCCCTCAGCAGGCAAAGTCACAACAACAGGGGAATCTGAGCCACCTGCCCCCACAACCTTCTCTGAGGTGCCTTTTGGAGAAGGAGACCTGACTCTAGGGGAACTTTGCGGGGTGCAGAGCACAACTCGGATTCCCCCTTGTTCCCCAGAATTTCTTCTGTTAGGGCAGTGAGCTCCCTGCTTCCAGATCTAGCTCCTCCTCTGGCACTGAGAGACTGGGAGATAAAATTGGGGTGGGGGAGACTGTCATGCTGGTGCTGGTGGCTCTTTCTGCTGTTAGGGGAGGTGGTGCAGGGACAAGTACTGCTCCCACCTCCTTGCTCCCACTGGCAGCAGAAGACTCTGCTGCCAGGAAAGAGGATGTTTGGGGTGGTGGCGGGGACGAGGGAGGAACTTGCAGCTCTCCCCCTAGCCCCTCTCCCTCCCCTGTCAGAAGACCTGGCACCTGCCTTTGCAGCACGCTTCATAATGTTTGCTGTGCTGGAAAATGTGTGTGCACGCAATTGTAATATCTCTTCTCCCTGTTTACTATATGTGTGTGTAACTACTATGTCTTTTTCTTCTCTGTTTACTGTATGTGTGTGAGCAGAGACGACATGAGCAGGGTGCAGGACCCAGAGCAAATCAGCCTGTGCGGGGCCCTGCCCCTGCCGCGAGGAATCCAGTGGTGGATTAGGCGGGGTGGGAGGAGGTGCTGAGCAGCCAGATGTGAAGCTGACGGCAGCGCAGAGTCGCCGTGGCTGCTCTGCCCGGCTCTGTGGGGCCCCCCAAAGCATGGGGCCTGGGGCAGTCACTCCGATTTACCTCCCCCCCCTCCCCCCCCCCAAGGGATGGCCTTGCGTGAGAGTATGTATAATGTATGTGCTTTCCTGCATGGTGATGGATCACACGCTGTCAGGCAAAACACCGCTTTCTTTTTAAAAAGTGTGAGGGGAAAAAATAACATGAACAAATAAGATGTTTTTGGGGGAAGAATAAATTGAAAGAAATGGATTGTATAGGGATAAGTAGAGGGATTCTAGGTAGGGGTAGTTAGTAAGCTGTATCCAAGCCTTTGCAAGAACAGAGACTAGCAGGAGACTGACTAGGAAGTCAAGCCAGTCCAGTAGTACCTTTCGGATGCTGTTGCTCAGGCAGAAACAGCTCACAAAAGGGAGAGAGAGGCTGCAGAAAGAGGCTTAAATGCTGTTTCTACATCCCCAGAGCACTGTGGTTGGAAGGGGACTTTGGGAAAGATCACAGTCACTGGCCAGCTACAAATGTCGGTCTTTTCCCCACTGCTCCCCCTCCCTCTTTTCAGTTTCTGTTTCCCTGCAAAGCTGCCTTCCGAATCTCCAAATCTTTTTCCAAATCTTTTCCAAATCGATTCGGAGGCTCTGAATTGATTCAGAGGGGATTTTTTTGTCTCCCGATTTGATTTGGATTCAGTGATTCGGCCTCTAAATCAGGCTGAATCTTCTCCAAATCGAATCGGCGACTGAAGCTTTGCACACACCTAGTTTATATGCACTGAAATTCTGTTGTGTTACAGATTTGAACCACTTTCCAATCACTTATGCCAGTCTATGTGTAATTTCTGTCCCTAACCCTTGTGGTGAGGAACAAAAATCTCAGTCTGTTTGTAAGACATTCCCTTCTAAGTCCTGGTGGAGAACTGAGGTTTTCTGAATCCTACTGTTACTATGATGTCAGTAAGCATTTGTGGAATTCAGTGGCAGAGCTTAGTGCTGCTGCCACTTAATTTGTGCCAAACTTTTCTGGCCCCATGGGCCATAGGAGTGTTATGGGGCTGGTCTGCAGGCCAGATGAGGCGCGTGGACCTTCTCTCCTTCCCCTTCTCTATTCCCACAGCATACCTGATTCAGCAACTTTTTCAGCTGGTCTGGGACCCAGGATGCATGTGTTGTGGATTCCTGAAGGCTGGGGCAGGTGCCGTGTATGATGGAGACCAGCTGGAGCAGGAGTCGGGCTGCACGTGGTGGCTGCCCCAGCAGTTCCGGCTGCCACATGTAGCACAAGTCCTGGGCTGGCAGGAGTGGGCACTGAGAGTCCCAGACTGGCTGGGGAGGGCACTGCATGTGGCACAGTCTTGCCAGGACAGCCACAATGTGAAGTGCCTCTGGCACTCCAGCCAAACTGCACCGCATGTGGTGCCCACCCCAACCCATGGGAATTTGCACTGCACACAGCACAGGCCCTAGACTGGCTGGAGTGGCTGCTGGATCAGGTATGCTGGGGAAGCAGAGAGAAGGGGATAGGGTCCATGAGCCTGATCCAGCCTGCAGACCAGCCTCATGCCACAGGGACACTGCCCTGTGTGGGTCTGATCAGACTCATGAGCAGCACCGGGGAGCAAATGACAGGGCTCCACGGGCCGGATCCAGCCTGCAGGCCCTGTATTTGACACCCCTATTATAGAAGTTTGTTTTTTGGATTTTAAGGTTTTTTTGTCAATTTAATGACCCATGTAGAAGTAATGATAGTTCTATGGGATGGATTGCTTTTTAATTTGCTTTAAAAAAACACACCACCTTGCATTATACTGCCTTGGCAACCTTGGCTTAACATTTGAGTATTTGGCTTCGTAATGGCTTTTTTTTTTTTTTTTTTTTTTTAATACATCAAGTCCTAAATGAAATTTCAGAAGAAAACTTTTATTACTGTGTGGTTTGCATGACATGTAAGAAATTATGTATGTGGCCACACACTGAAAAAGAGGTTGTGTGTGTGTGTGTGTGTACACCTTTTATATAAAGGTGTTGATTAGTCACCAATTCTGTACTATTTGTCCTGTTTAGGAGCTGAGGTTCTGTAGAAAATTCAGTACATAATTAAACACCGTGTGCAGAAGTATCTTGACAAGGGCAGGGATCTATAATTCCAGTATTAACTTTTATAGCAACTTTTTGTGTTTATATGAAATATCAAGTTTAAGCAAGTTACAGTAGGGGTTTACTTTGGTATAATCTACCTGATTCAAAATCAGTTCTTTAATCAAATTGGCACAATACTTTTTTTAGTAGAGGACTGTAAATTCACTGATTATCAACCATTATATTCAAATTACAGATCCCTCAGCTGGGCAGTGTTTCTGAACTGAGTTTGGACAGTGGTTTATGGACAGAGCAAACTAGCTCCCTAATCTTGCCCTCAGTTTCAAATAAGGCTAACCTTGTGGGTGGTTATGGATCCAGTTCCAGGATCAGCTCCATTTCCCTGTTGTTTTAGGATGAGCAGTTTCAGAAGAAAAATAAAACTGAAGGGTAAATTGCTGTGTGACAAAGAGATTATATTCTCAAATTTCATTTTTGCAGGTACAGTGTCAAGCTAATGATAATGCACCGATGAGTGAATATTGCTAGTCTTTGTACGTTAATGACATCTGTGCCAATGATACCAGAATCCTGCAGTCATGTATTGGCAGAATTTGAGTGTTTGGATCCTTTGCTTTCTGCACTCAGGTTGGATTCTAGTCGTCTGAAGGTGAGTTTATGACTATTGCATTTAATTTGTTGTTATTTTCTTATTGACACGGAGAAAACAATATTTTTTTGTTGTACTTCTGTTTGCTGAACATGGATATAAAGTTACTTTGATTTGTGTAGTCCTAGAAGCTGTTATTCAGGTTGCAGATCATGACTTAATATGAACTTCATGGTCTAGAGTAGGGGGCTCTTGGAAGAAGAGGAGTTAAGACTGGTATAAAACAAAAATGGATGTGTTTTGCCTATGGTGGAATAAACAGAAGAATATTGTTAGGTTATTTCTGAAGTGATGACAATTTTGGATGTTTGATGTAAATTATTATTATTATTAGGATGTATTTTCAGAACAAACTAGCTGGCTACACGCAATATACAATACTTAATTCCAAAGTTTTTGGGTGTTTAAATATCTTGAAATACAAATATCTGTTTTATGATTTTAAACATTAATTATTGATCAATCCATTTAATTGAATGATTGATTAGACTTTCTTAAATTGAAGCAACTTGATAGTTGTAGACAACTTCTGTGTTTTACTCAGGGACACTTTGAATTAATCTAGTGTTACAGTATTTTGCTTTTGTATAAGTGAATACAGTCTAATGAGATTAGCTTGTCAGGGAATTTACAAGAGGGAAAAATATCTGTCTTTGTATTTTATTTTTTTTTAACTTGCTTGTTTTTACTGTTTGCTTTCTCCTGAATGTGCTTTTCTCACTGCTTTAATAATCTGGCTAGGGTGTTGCACACCCAGGCTAGGTACAAATAGCAAGCATACGACCAGCTCTGTTTTCCAACAAATGGAAAAGGGGAAGAGAGACTATTACTTGCTGCATTTATTATAGCAAGTAGTTACACTGCTGTGTTGACTCTTGTATTTCTTTCAGTGCACATGCATAGCCACATCTCGGAAATGGCTGGCGCTGGGCAGTTCAGGTGGTGGCTTGAACCTTATCCAGAAAGAAGGCTGGAAACAGCGACTCTTTCTCACTCATAAGGTAAGTTTAGAGTAATGCATACAAAAACCTCAGGCTCAGGAGTGGGCAGTACTTCTACTGCAGAAATGGGGAAGTGGGATCTTTTATAACTCCCAGGCATGTGCAGCCTGTTGAATCACCATATAAAGCAAATGTTCTGATTCCTCTGTTTTGAAGAGAGAGGTCCTTGCATGCAGTCATAGTGTGGTCCAAAGTGTTGTTACACACTCCTTTGCATGGCACAAAGGAGCAATACCAGGAGTCCAGATCTCTCAGTTGTTCTCCAGATTCAGAACTTAGCATAAATTAAGTTTCTATCAGTTAGGATTCAGAAGAAAGCCTTTAAAATGTGGAACCGGGGGGATATCTGTTGGCATTTGGAGTATCTGGGAATATTCCAAGTCTGAGTTGTGCATTGTTGTATTCAGTATAGTTCATATTGTCTCACATAACAATGATGATTCTTTAAAGTTTAACCTTGTTATCCATATAAGCTAGTTCCTTCCTTTCTTTAACTGCTTTGATGAGAATCGTATTGTTAAGGTATTAGTCTACACAGTATCCTCATATATAACACACAGCAGGGTTGTAGATAATATATGATTGACTTCATTTTCCTGAAGGAGGGCATAGCTTTTTAAGTAATCTGGGAAATGCTGTGTTAGTACATCCAAAGTGCTGTTGGAATCTTCAGTACTGTGGGTATTATAGGCATTAAGATTTTAAAGTCCTGCTTAAAAAAAAAAAAGTACAGCATTAAGACTGCTGCCATACAGAGTAGAGTGATGATCCACTAACAGTAATATCACTGTATTACAGAAATTTCTAGTCTGTTATTCTGGTGTAAATATCTGATTTGCTGTTAATCTTGTTCTTTTTATTCAGTGCTTGCACAGTGCTCATATGGAGACGGACTGAATTAGTAGCATTTTTATTTATGCATGATAGTGCTTTTATTGGTATCCTTGGATAGCTGGTGTTAGGATTTCACCTAACTTAGTTCTATTTTCATAAAATAATTTTTCCACAGGTTGAGGCATGCCTACAGTCTTTTCAAAATATACCTGCAGATTTCTGATTATCTCAAAGGCCAAAAGATCTCCTTAGTTAATTGAAGCATGCACAAAGAGGAAGCTGTCTAATACAGACAGTACATGTGGCTTCATGCCCAGCTGCCTTTTTCAGTGTTAAAATTGCTGATGGGTGGACTGGATTGTCTTTGCAGTTTGGAATGTTTTAAGATGTTGTTCTCCTTTGGTCCATCAGTGTGGAATCCAGTATAGATAAGCAGCAATCAGAAAATATTATGGTCTATCTAGCACTGGTTGATGAAATGAGTTTGTGGTTTAAACTGAAGTTTTTTTGTTGGCAGTTGTCTAAAACATGAAAGCAAACTTCGTAAGTGTAAGGCTTGAACGGCTGTGAAAATTGTATTCTGATCATCTATGAAACCTAATCTTAAGTGAAAGTAGTGAGAGAGATGCAAGCAGGGGTCTTCATTTCTATGGCCCCTGCTCTTTCTGCTTAGTGGATTAGGACAAGGTTTCACAGTCCAAAGCTCTCACGTGAACCCCATTTTCATAATGAGTTCACTGTTTAATACAGTTTAAACAGGAGGCAAAGCCTTGGAATCCAGGAGCATTTGGAAGTAGCTACTGAGTTTTCTTTCTTTTTTTTTAGTTTGTAGGCAGAGAACAAAAGCTGTATCGAATCATAGAAAAGTAGAGCTGTAAGTTACTTCAGAGGGTCATCGAGTCGAGCTTTCTGTTCAGGGCAGGATCATCCCTATGTAAACCATCCTTGATAAATGTTTGTCTAACCTGTTCTTAAAAACTTAGGGAACAACTCCGTCATACAAATAACGGGCATGAACACTTGAAACATCAAAAGCTCCCTAATGTAGCGGGATAGGGACACTGTCAACATCTTGTGTCTGGAGTGACAGGAAGCAGTTGTTAAAATACGATCAAGAGATCAAGCAAGAGGTCCGTGTCTTTGCTACAGGGAAAAGCAAAAATATCTACAAACTGTGCCAGTCTGACCATGGAGTAAAATTCCTTCCTGATCCCAAGTCAGGTGCTTGGTTTGACTCTGGGTGGAGGAGCAAGACCTAGATAGAAACCTCTAGATTTTTTAGTCCCAGCAGAAACACCAGCACGCTCCAGTCAATCCCTGTGCTTCTGAGGAAGGGAAAAAGCCTTGTAGCACCCACTGTAGGTAGTGAAACCTAATTATATGTACTGAAAACTAACTGTACTATTGCTTTTGGATTTGCTTTCACTTCAATGCTTGACTGGTCTTTTTTACATTAGGAGGGTGCCATTTCCCAGGTTGCCTGTTGTTTACATGATGAAGATTATGTTGCTGTAGCCACCAGGTGAGAGATTTACTAGGGAAATAACTTATACTACTACCCAAGGCCATGAAACAGTTTTTCTGGGTTGCTGCCTTGTTAATTTGCTTAGGCCTCCTTTGCACAGGGAATTTAAATGGCAAAGCGACTGCAGCAGCTTCCTTTGTGGAAAGTCTGTTCTGGACTAATCAGTCTGGACTAAAACTGAATAATAAAAGTGATTTATTCCAGAAGAAAATATCTAAATGGGGAACTATTGCAAAAGAGCTTCTTCCATAATAGCTGTGTCAGATCCTTTCCCCGTAAGACAGGTCTGAGACAGTTTGACATCCTGGGGAAATATTTCATGTACTTGATAGTGACATTGATAGCTAATACAAGATAAATGTTTGAAATTCAGCTAGTTACTTATTTTGTTTACACTTGGCACCCTGATTGCTAGTTTTGGCTTAGGATTTAGTGGCTAAGTGAGGAACCCTTCAGGTTGTACTCATACATTTTTGGTGGGATGATCTATGGATATTTGTTGCTCCCATTTCTTGGTTAAGTGTGCAACTCTTCTGAATTGTTGGTCTATTCACAAGCAGAAAATGCAAACACACAACCTAAATTAAAGTGAATTCTTTGCTTTGACTGCTGATGGGAAAGGAGCATTACTTCACTACTAGCAGAAATGTTCTTTTAAAATTCTCAATTTCTCCTAATTATTACAGTCAAGGCCTTGTTGTAGTCTGGGAATTGAATCAAGAACGTCGTGGGAAGCCGGAACGGATTTATGTTTCCTCTGAGCATAAAGGCAGAAAGGTCACAGCTCTCTGTTGGGATACAGCTGCCCTTCGAGTTTTTGTGGGAGATCATGTGGGGAAAGTATCTGCCATCAAGATTAATACATCCAAACAAGGAAAGGTAAAATGTTACTTGGTTTCTTGAGAGAGATTTGAGCTGAGAGAATCTTGTGGGCAGGCATATAGAATCTGTGTCTCTGTTAATTAAAAAAAGAATGAGTGAGAGTTTGCTGATGAATTCTAAGTTCTGGACACTTTAGTGACAAAATAGGAGCGAAGAGTTAGTTTCTTCAGAATTTAAATTTGGTATAAATATTCTGTTCGGCTCTTGTCTCTGTACCTACAGCTAATCTAGAAAGTGGCATTATAACATGAATATTATTTCAAATATTATGGTAGCATTCAACTTTGTTTGAAGTGCTAAATTGCACCTCTCAGAAGCACTGATTTCTGGCTAAACATTTTGCATAGGGATAAGACCTTTTTCTAGAGGTCTGCATAAGTCCAAAATATCAATCTCATTGTTACTGCAGTTAATCTTGGGTAACTGAAAGAAACCCACCATTTATTGAGGCTTTTACATAACTGTGGAGGGCGTGCACAGAGTGGTCTTATATTTTGTCACAGCCTTGGCTGCACTTCTCCCCCTGGAAGTTTCATAGATTTCATAGACATTAGGGCTGGACAGGACCTCAGAAGATCGTTGAGTCCAGCCCCCCAACCGAAAGGCAGGAAGTCAGCTGGGGTCATAGGATCCCAGCAAGATAAGCATCCAATTATCTCTTGAAGGTGTTCAATGAATCACCGAATCGAATCACTGTCCCCCAAATCGGCTGAATCTGAAGCGAATACTAGCCACTTCGCACAGGCCTAATGCACATGTAAACATCCATAGCATCAGAGCCTTATTTTATCGAGGGGAATTCATTGTGTTAACTCAACTTTGCCCTCTTCATAGGATCTGTTGTTATACACAAACAACTTTGTTTGAACACTTAATTTTGCCACCTAAATTTTGCAATAATACAGGCTTTATGGAATATTAAGACCAAATCTGTATTGCTTTTGTTTTTCTTTAGGCAGCTGCTGCTTTTGTGATGTTTCCAGTTCAAATTATAACCACTGTAGATTCCCGGGTAGTTCAGCTTGATTATATGGATGGAAGATTGCTCATCTCTTCACTCACTCGCACCTACTTATGTGATACAGAGAGGTAGGTTATACTCTAACTGCAAAGATACTGGTTATTTGTTAAAATTTGAGACTGTAATTCAAATAGATACGCTGAGAAATATTTTTTCTAATTTTATCATTAGAAATTACCAAACACTGTCATGCATACTCATCAATTAAGAGACATACCTGCATTATTTCAGTTTAAATGCGGGCCTTTTATACTGTTATCCACCTTTGGGTTTTTATTTATGCATCTCTTCTTGGGAATTGAGTTTCATGGCTTTAAAGTGAATTATAGCTTTAATTTTGTAGACTTTTAGACCAGTAGTGTTTTAGTTTTTACACTCTTGGCAGTATTACACTAGGGCAGACAGCTCGAGAGAACTGAACCATCTACTATGTAGATCTTTTTAGATAAGAGATTGTCCACCTGGTTTGGCAAATAGTCATCAGTCTGTTCCCTCAAAGAAATTATTTTAGCTTCTCAGGTAAAATAAAAAGCTTACTTCACATCCAAATGAATGCAGTGGAGAGGGATTTTCATTACAAATGCACTACTTATATATAGAGCTGTAATTATTGTGCAGTATTCCTTATAAAAGGAAGTTTTTGAACAAACAAATTAAATCTTTCAGACCACTGTTTTTCACAAGAAGTTTTTTTCCTTTTATAGGATCATAGGAATGTCGGGTTGGAAGGGACCTTGTAAAGTCATCTAGTACAGCCCCCTGCTCAAGGTCATTTAGTCCAGCGCATGCCCCCCCCGACTGAACCATCCCAGCCGAGTATATGTCCAACCTGTTCTTGAAAATTTCCAAGGATGGAGATTTCACAGTTTCTCTAGGTGGCCTGTTCCAATGTTTGACTACCCTCATAATCAGAAAGTTCCTCCTGATCTCCATCCTAAATTTCCTCTGCTGCAGTTCAAGTCCATTGCTCCTAGTCCTCTCCCCTATAGCCATGGAGAAAAGTCTATCTCTATCTTCTCTATTATTGCCCTTCAGGTATTTGAAGACTATTGTCAAATCAGACTCTTTCATGGTGCTTTAAAATAACAAATGTGGAAGCAGTAAATGCAAGAAGGATGCACTACATCTGCATACAGGCGGTCCTTGGACTTATGACACAATTGGGTCCTGAAAACTACATCTTAGGTTGAAACATCATAACTCGGAACCAATTTTCCCATAGGAACAATTTTATAAATGGCGGATCGGTTCCTGAACCAGGGGTCAATACCCTATTTTCCCCCAAAATAACCCAGAATTTTGTATTTGAATCAATTGTAGGTGGGTAATTATAGCTATGTTAATGCATTTATATTGTAAATAGCAATCATGTTGCTTTGGAAGGACTTCTTTGAGGTGACTTTGCTGGACTTTTTGAAGGGCTCTTGGTTGGACTTTTTGAAGGGTTCTTGGCTGGAGTCTTTTCAGGAGTCTTGGCTGCAGGCTTTTCTGGCGTCTTGTCTGCTTTCTTAAAGAAAGTGTCCAAGGAAGTTTGGACAGATGTTCTCCAGAGACGTGGGCGATGCAGCGAACTTGTTCACTGGCATGGCATCACATCAGATTAAGCGTTGTAAAGTCGAAACCGATGCCAGAAAGTTGAAACAGAGTCAGTTTATAAATGTTGTAAGTGCCGTTTGTTGTAAGTCAAAACGTCTTAAGTCGAGGACTGCCTGTATATAAAAGTAATGGAAAGTTGAATTGTGTTATGCAAACATTCCAAATTTTTGGTAAACTGCAAATTATGTGTAAAGGCAATTCTATTAAATAAGATTTTTTTGGAATTTGAGGTTGTGAATATTTCTCTAGTAAATTTGTTTGCCCAAGAAAAATGTTAAAACCACTTGTGTTAACTTGTAGTGTTAAATGTTGTCTAAATATTTTTTTTCCTGTACTAGAGAAAAGTTCTGGAAAGTTGGTAACAAAGAAAGAGATGGAGAATATGGAGCCTGCTTTTTCCCAGTTGGAAAGGGTGGAGGGAGCCAGCTGCCATTAATATATTGCGCACGTCCAGGGTCAAGGATGTGGGAGGTGAACTTTGAAGGAGAGGTGCTAAGCACGCATCAATTCAAACAGCTGTTATCATCACCTCCTCTCCCTCTCATTACTCTAAGGTAGTAGTATTGATTATGGTTAGTGATGAACTAGATGGTGATTGCTTTCCCCCCCTGTTTTGTCATTAATATTTTTGTGACAGTTACTGTTTGAAAATAACAAGCTGTAGTAAGAAAAGTCAAGACATGAGTACTGTAGTTTGTTCTCAGGCCTAGCATTTTCATTGTGCAACTCTCAAACACTTGTTCAGCTGCTTTTATGGAATCCATCTACCTGCTTGTATTCAAAAGTTATGATATTCTAAAAAGAAAAAAATGGCTTTTGATTCACAAACAGTTTGACTGATTTGCATTTTTTCAGAATCATACTTCAGTGCTTGTTATTTCAGTTATCAGTGGTCAATTTTTATTACATGTCTTTAGGTAGACAGTAGCCCTGAGTGAAATAAAGAAACTTGATGAAACAGTCAGATTTGGCTTTAGATTTAGCCTTTAAATGAAGGAGTTGGAAATTGCCTTTGCACATTTTATTAAAAAAATAAGCTTTGACTTCATGGATTATAGTTTCCATGGCACTGCTGTAGTGTGAAAGTATAAATTTACAGGGCTGCTTTTAATGATCTGAAATAAATGTAACATGAAAATGAGGAGTTAATTGACAACTATTTGGTTACTTGTTGATGCTGTTTGCAGCAGATTCGGCTGGAGTACAAGGGTCATGGATTCTTTGGAAATACTTTCAAGGACATTGAGAGAGTTTTTTTTAGAATTTTGTTTTCCAACTAAAACGTTATGACGGTAAACTTATTTAACAACCTGAGACTTGACCTTTATTGAAAAATATTTTAACCATTTGTTAAGCCAAGCAGAGGTCTTGAACTCTTGTAAATCTCAGTTCACTTTTTTGGACTTTGGTCCATTGGTCGATTATGGTCTTTTCCATCCTCGTTCCCTGAATTTAAAATCCTGTTGCAATTCTTAAGTTGAAAGTGTTCTTGATCCATCATCTCAGTGTTAACTTTAGAGAGAAATTGCGACAGTGATGCTAATAACAAAAGTTTCAATCGTAGCCTGTGACTTAATTTTATGGATGTGACTTCTGTGCAGTGTTTTATGGTGTGTAAGCTAAGCCCTTGTTGTAAATGTTCATAGGACTGGGGGCTCAAATACTTATCAGTGTGATGCATTTTGAAAATAGAATATATTAGTCAGTTTGGGTTGTTTTGTTTTTTTTTATAGGTCGGATCCTCAGTATAATGCTTCTTCCTGTTCCCCCCAGTCTTTGTCTTTCCCAAAACTGTTATATTTGACGTGAGTATTAAGACTTTTATTAACAAAATTTAGGTTTTACAAACCTATCTTAATCATTTGATAGACTCCTAATTCTGTTATCTATTTTCTAACACACTAGCATATAACATTTGCAAGAACTGTCTTCTGGGGTTTTTTTCCCCGCAAATTCCTGCAGTTAGCTACATGGTGGTAAGAGTGTCGTAGTGATGAGCTCTGAGGTTGGAACTATAAGTTTCGTATCTGTATGGGTTCCATGAGCGACACTGTGAAGCTGTGCTATATATGGAACCGTTAGTAGCTCTACTGGAAGTTCTGGGTCTAGCACAGCTATTGAATTGCACTCTGAATTATTCCATATTAAGTTACAACTCAGCAAATAAAAGAACAGCCATATCCGAATTATTGCGACTTTTCTCCAAAATCTAACCAATGCAGTTTATTTGATTAAATCAATGTGTAAAGGCCCCAAAGATGTCCTGTAAAGCCCCTGGGTGGTAGTTTTGATGCATCTTCCTTTTCTCCTTCCCTCCAAAACCTCTACTGTAGTATTGTTTGGTAAATTATTTTAACAATCCTTATTCTCCTCTTTCCTTTATTTTGCTGACAAATATGGAAACTATTAAAACTTTTTACCATTCTACTGAGTGCTGTTTCTTTCTAAAAAGTTTATAGGTTCACCAAAGCTGATGATCATTCTCTAGGAATCTAAGCATTTTTAGATGCTTTTTCTTTGTGACAACTGCATAGTAATCTTGCTTTTTAAATATTTTTTCTAAACCCATTCTGTCATGCTTGAATAAAAGAGGTGTTAGATTATATGTCTGCGTTCTAAAATTCAGGTTTTGTCTTGGTCTTAAAGTAAACAGTGGATTAGCTCAGTTCCCTAATGAATTGAATATGCTGAGAAGAGAATTTTCTTCTGAAATGAGTTAATGTAAGTATTATTTCAAGAAGTTGTTGTTTTTCCTTTTCTTTTACAGTGACCATTGTGTCATGACCTGGACAGAAAAAGGCATTTATATCTTCATTCCACAGAGTGTTCAAGTTTTACTTTGGAGTGAAATAAAAGGTGAACTCAGTATTCTCAGAGATTTGCTACATTGTTTGCTGTACTTACTGTCATAAAGACCTGTACTTAAAGCATATTATACCAATTTCCTTTTCTACGAATAAGTTTAAATAGCACTTTATATGGCTTATTTTGAATATCAAACCCTCTTCCTCCCCCAGTTCAACTTTGAAACTAATCTTTTCAAGTACCTTTTATGGATACATGTAAGTAATAGGGGAAAATACTAAATCTCAAAGTAAAATATCAATGTGATGATTAAAATAAAATGTTGTGGCTTACTTTCCTTATTTTTCTCTCTGGCACTTTTTTTGATCTCTTTGTAAGAATAAAGTACATCTGGCCTCAGTAGACTAGGAGGCTTTTTTATGATGGTTTTCCTAAGTGTATTTACGATCTTTGATTCAGATAACTTCTGTATCAAGACCCAAGTTAATAAATACTAAACACATGAAGTGGTTGTTATAGTTTTAAAACTGCTAAAGTGGTGGGGCTCAAACTTCCATCCCTGCAGACTGGATGAGTGCTGCAGAGTCAGTTCATGGGCTGGATCCCATTGCGCATTGGATCCAGCCCCACATGCAGGGCCATGTTAACCAACTTGTGGGGCTCCCTATGGGTCCAGAAATCTGGCAGAAGAGGGCTGTCAATTAACACTGCCACTGCTCCCCTCCTGCCAAATTTCCGGACTTGTAGGCCCTGTAGGCCAGGTGACATGGCTCTGTGGGCCAAATCTGGCCCTTGGACTGAAGCTGAACACCATTGTGTTAGAGCAATTAGTTGTCCCCTATTGACATTCAGTTCAAAATGTGTTGTCATGAAGCATTTGAACGTATGTGCCAAAAGAGTTTGACCCTTCAGCAGGCAATTGCTTTAATCAAGTATTCATAGATTCATAGATGTTAGGGTCGGAAGGGACCTCAATAGATCATCGAGTCCGACCCCCTGCATAAGCAGGAAAGAGT